GGCTACCAAAACACCCAGTCCCTGCTGACTGATTGCAAAACACAAAAGTTGGGATAATAAGGGGTGTCTGATACCAAGTAAACAGTGGGAGTTATCAATAAAATGGGAACCCAGGAAACATGTCACTGCCTGATTCACACGATGAGAGCTTCTGTATTCATGATATCATCAGCTGAAGACAAGATCCTCCTTTTTACCGAGTCAGTCACTGTGGCCAGATAATTCTAGCTGCCCTTTGTTTCTGCATCTTCTATATATTCAGCTTGGCTCCCTTGACCTTTTATTGCTCCCCCCCCCCCAAAAAAGGATTATGCAATTTAAAAGCAAAACAAAACATACAACCGTGTGATTTGCCAGTGTTGAGCTGATACCTAAAAATTACATTACAACACACAATCAAAATATTGATCAATGAATCATTAACATTCAACAACAGAGTGGGTAAAGAAGCAATAGTTCAGAAGTACAATCAAAATATTGCAGGAATAATAGACAACCCCAGTCACAACCCTTCCTAATCCTTCTAAATGGTGCGCTAGGGCTGAACTGCAAAAATGCAGATCGTTCTGTTTATGTAGCAGGATTTGTTCTTCCTGCTATAGTTTCCCGAAACAAGAGCAGTTGAAGGATGATAGCACCGCCTTCACGGCTGCCCAATGCACAGAATTCTGTATATCACTGTTTGATAACATTGTCATTCAAAATGGTGTTAGGATTTTTCAGTAATGACCATGCTTCTTTCTGTTTTCCTCTTTTCTTTTCCTTTTTTTTTTTTAATGCACAGAGACACATCACTGCAGCAAACAGGAAGGGCAGACCAAGATTATGTACCCCACAGTTCAGAAATGGGCTTTTTGCATTTTTTCATTCAGTTCAAGATCTTTCTGCTCTTTCCTACAGCTTAGGAAAGCACCTTTAGCAATATCTTTTGAAAAAGGGAAATGCAGAGAACTGAATTCATGGCCTTCAGCATTCACACTATGAACTCAGGTATCTCCACATGTTATCCAGATGTGAACATTTGAAAATTAGCTTCCATCATCAATGCAAATGCTGGATTGGACAGACCTTCAAGCCAATCGAGCTGGCTTGCATTTGTCCCCATGGAAACAAATTAGCTTTCTTTTTTTAAGTAAAAAATACGCAAATATGAATATGCAATATTATCTGATGGTCATATCAGAAGGTATTGGGAAGATCTGAAAACCAAAATACATAATTTATGGAGAGCCCATCCCATCTTGCTGCATATTCTCATCCTTTTCTTTTTTTTTGAAAATGGCATTTACCCAAAGGCATTCAAAACCATTCCACTTTTCTCCCCAATGCACGAGTTCTCACCAAAGCTTTACATTGTTTCACATTTTTCATTTACAGATTACAAACTCATTACACAAGTAAGCAAACTCTCAGTACAATTCGGCATAGCATCAAGACAGCCGCAAAGAGTAAAGGTTTCAGACGAGTCTTTAAAAAAATAAAAAGAATGAAAGAGAAATCAACAGCCGTGAAGGCAACCAAGGCTGACTTTCTAGCTTGTCAATCTAACCACTGGCACATGCTGCCTTTGGTTTCGTATTTTGCAAACGGAGCAACATGAAAATAATTGCGCTGAATAAATAGCACTACGTTTAAGCAGGTTCCCACAAATCTCGTGTCTGAGCACTTTAAAGACACTCTAAAAGAAGGCATAAATTCTTCTCCCTTTCCAGCAGGCAGAAGTGAACAAAAGAGAATACAAGAGTTGGTTTTGTTTGTTTGTTTGACTCAATGATTGGATTTCTTGCACTCATGAAATTCCCCTATTGGATGGCAGCTATCCCTGCTCCAGTGGGACACACCTACCAAGGGAAGTCATATCTGCAAAGAGAGAGAGAAGTCACTAGGGCCAGATCCATAACAGCACTCAAATGTGGAGTGTCTTGCTCAAATGCACCCAAAGGAGGACGCTTTTCACTAGTTACAGGTTAAACACATCCACTAGATGCTTGGGGGGCAAACACAGGTCTAGGAACCTGGGTTGTCCATCACACTCTGGCAACTAATGGTTACTTGGACTAGGTCTTTGACGAAATGCTCAGCTCATCCTGTAGCTAGTCGATTTGTTTCTGCCAATTTGCCACAAATGAAATTGTTCTGGAGGGGAACCTGGGGGAAGGGGGAGGAGGGAGGGAAGATGAATACTATTCATGAAATGGGCCATTTTGAAGGACACGTTTGCCATTTTTTTCTACAGGGCTGTAGAATGACTTCATAGCCAGGACATTTTCAGAAGCAAAGCAGGTGGGTGAAAACAGCTTACTGCTAGCTACCACCAAGGTCAACTTTCCCAGCATTTCTGCTGACCTTGGGGACAGGGGTCCTCACAGCTAGCTTTTCTGCTCCAAGCTGCAGGATTAATGCAAGGCATTTTGCTACCTACGATGAATCCAAACAATCAGGGTTTCCCTCTCTATTTAATTCTATTTTGTTTTTGCATTTCTGGTTAGGCCCAAGAGCATCTGGAAAAGGATCATATAATATACCCATCCTCATCCCCTTGTTCCACTGACTGAATGCAGCAGGCAGCTGAACATCTACTGATATGAAGGAAACAGGCTAACTTGGGGCAGACTGTGGTGGAATTTATACACCTTCCCTCCAGTAGAAGAAAATGGCTAACAGAAACTCCCTCAGTGGCTCCTACGTACCCTCCTACGTACCACTTGAGGGAACTGTGTAATAATATGGCCGGCCATGATACTTTCATGAAGAAATAGCTTTCAAGGAAGAAGTAGCAGGTGGGAGATTTCAAAATTTTTCTTCCCTATTGTTCTTTTTTGGCAACTACATGTCCTCAAGGCACCCCTGACCCATTTCAAACAGAGAAAAAGCATATTTATATTTTAGCAAGTGATGCAGGAATAAAACCCTCATCATCTGTCGCATCCTCTGATCACTCTTTTGGCTGCACAGAAATGATAATCCAGGTTCCCAGGTGATCTGTGTTTGCTTCCAGCTATCTAGCTCCATCCTGAATATGAAACATTTGTTTGCAAACATCTGCTAAACCAGAACAGGCAAACTCATTAAAGAGCCGTGATTAGCTGAAGCTTTCTGCTGAGTGTTTGAAGCACAGGGTTGTCTCCATAATAGGCAACCATCTGATACTGTTCTAGGAAAGCAGATTTGTGTCAATACATTTGGCATTTGGTTTTCTTCCCTTCACCTCAAACAATTAGCTTCTTGTCTCTAACGGGTTAATGGACACAAATTAATGTGATACATATTCTAGGATGATTCACGTCAAGAGAGATTGGCTGGAAGAAATAAAAGCATCCTTTGGATAAAAATGGCCTTTCTCTAATTCCACCCTGCAATGTTGCATTGACTGCCCATCAGTTATAGAATCTCTGAAGTATTTTTTCCCCTTGGGAACTATAATATGGTGAGATTACTCAGAATTTCTCTTACAGATCCCGAGGCCTACTCTTTTAGATAATGTCTAGAAGGTACAACTTCTCTGCAGCAGTTTTAAAAACATTCCAGCAGATTTATTAATTCTGTTGAAAACGTTTGCAATGTGTCTGGAATATGAATATGAACAATTGCACCTTCCATTCAGTTGTAACCCAGACAAACCAGCAGAGATGAAATGAACAAGATTTTGGCAGTTTCCCCCTTCCCTTGAGCAGGGAGCCAGTCTGCAAATTGCGAGATTACTGGATTGTTTTGGTTTTTATCTTTTCGTCCCCACATTTTGCCTGGAGATTTGTGTGGCCGCAGCATGAAAACTTACAGCAGTTTGGAAAGGCTGCGGATTTTCGCTCCTTGCTATGAGCATTTCACCATTTAAGTACTTCTGAAACTTTGGAAGGTGAAAATGGCAGCAGGGGTGGACTTGCCCCAACTGTGCCCCAAGCCTGCCATAGAGATAGATTTTAAAGCAATAGCCATTTTAATATTTTCAGCAGAAATACCAAAGGGTCTTATAGGACCTTAAACCCTACTATATGGAGGATAGTCTGCTTTATCTCCAGGGTTTGTCAAATACCCAATGTATCTTTCAACATACTAATGTCACCTACAACTGGTGCACAGCGCAATTTGAGGGGGAAGAGGCATAGCCACTCACCACTAGGAATCCAAACAATCAGGGTTTTCATGTCTACTGAATCCAAACAATCAGGGTTTCCCTCTCTATTTAATTCTATTTTGTTTTTGCATTTCTGGTTAGGCCCAAGAGCATCTGGAAAAGGATCATATAATATACCCAGACCTCTACCTCATTTTCTAAACAGGGAAGTATTTTTTTTCTGCTCCTTCAGCAGCAGGGGAAAGGGAATTCCTTTTCCAACCTGCCCTCGAGTATGCACTACAGTCACATACGAAGACCAAGGAGTCTGTGAGATTTGCCAATAGTAGCATTGCGGGGGGGGGGGGGGTGGTGCCTCACAGGTCCAAAACTGAGGGGAAATCATAAGGAAAGGGCAAACAGAAATGCAAATGATCTATTGCTAAGTTAAGGGTAAGAAGGGGCAAACTAGAGATCACAATTAGAATGTAAGGCAGAATGCAGTGGACAGACAAACAGCAAAGGGGATCAAACATGATGTTTCTAGATGATCAGACAGAGAGAAGGAAGAACAGAGTGAAAGTCTGACCTTCTGGACAGGTTGAGGAAAAACCTATGATAAAGAGAAATAGTGGCGCAAAGGAATTCCTCCTGGTTATTGCCATTCCAAATGTTAGTCATTCCTCTCCTATTCCAGTTTGGCTCGTTTTTCTAACCATTAATTAAATCAGTGAGAGGAGAATCCCTCTTCCAAGGTTCAAAGAAGAACGCATCCTCCTTATTATCTTAAGAGACAGTGAGATGGATGGTAACAGGATGTGTCTTTCCTGCATAATACGATTATTCTAATGCTTATACACTGTTGATGCCCTAATCACAGCATTAAAATCATGTTCCTTGAAGCCAGTAATCAATCAAAGGCACTCAGTAAAGATGAATGTCTGACCTGGTATAGTCATCTTCCACTAGCATGTGCTTTGGGATAGGTGAATATCTTCCAGGTGAGATGGGGGCCAAAGACGTCTTGTATTCTAAAGTGCCATTGTTGCCTGAAGACAGGATATGGTTTTCCATTGGTGGGGAATAAGCTAGAGGTTAAAGAATATATGCAAATATATTTAGCATTCAGTTTAATGCTCAACAGTTTCATGTATCACAGCAGATTCAAGGTGCTTCTTGTCCAACTTGTTTTGCCAATATGCATGCATGGAAAGGATTTTGGGAAGTTTAAGGAGTCAATGCAAGGGGCTTAAGCAACTGCCATTTGCCGTTTACACTCTTCAAACCTTGAACCCGGGCTTAAATGTTTGGCTCCACCCACTCTGAGGGGCCTCTAGGACCATAAAAGAGATGTTGCTAAGTATCCCTTGGGCCTCCCTTTTTCAACTTTCTGGGTTCTCAGCCACCTTTGGAACAATTCCAGTTTGTGGTCCACCTCATACTTTGTCATTCCCATGGTTAAAAATGAATCTTTATTTTCATCGAAATTAAATGAAGGAAATTTTGTCTTCTTGGCTAACGTGGTCATCTAGCCGTCATCATGGCGGTGCTCTCCTCTTATTTGCTTAAGACACTTTGCTTGGCTACTGAATAATTTTACAGGTTCAAACCATACAGTGAATTGTAAACTAAGTCATCCAGATTAACATTAACCATGCTAAGCATGTAGAGCAAAAGGAACTCTTGTGAGTGCAGCCAACTGGTTCTACCCGCTGCCATTTTCAAAACCATTATTAATAGGTTTGGCATATGCTCCTGAAGGAGGGAAGGGCAGAATGATCTCCCATAGCAGTTCATTTAGTTTTTACACTAGCTACAGAGGAAGAAAAGGCTGGCCTTCTGTAACCAGCATAGAAACCAAGAGAAACTAATCCCTGCAAATTTTCATTTGCTAGCCCACACAGCAGAAGGCAATTTCTCTTTATTAGCCTTCTAGGATTCTGCTGGCTGAAATGATGACTAGGATTTTGTAGGCTTCCCTATCACTGCCTTGAAGATCCAGGTTACTAGCTGCTTAGATATTTACTAATACACCAACTGCTTTTACAGATTTTTTTTTTTTTTGCAAAACTGAATTAAAAGCATCTCTTGGGAAGTCACCATTGGTTTGGATCTGCAGTGCCAGAAGGGAAGGGAAGGGAATGTCATTACTCTGGTTGATGTCTCACCTACCTTCTTGTCTATGTTGACATTTCTAAGCTATACTGGGGAGTGGAAGAAATCCAGGCTCTTATAGGCACGGTTTCCCCAACTGTTATTGCGACTAACATGACTTTTGGAGCAAGTTGAGAGATGCTGGACCTTGGCTAGATTAACCTCCCTCCCTCCCTCCCCAAGAATTAAGGTTTCAATCAAATAGTTCCTTATCTCCTTTCTCCCCATTCATTCCTCACTCAAGATACTTCAGGAAATTTGACCCTGGATCATTTATTCTGAATCTCTGTTTGGATCTTTATCCTTAAAATGTCACACAAACTCTTAGAATTGGACAACAACATCCAAAAACATCCTGTATATCATGACTTACGATGAGTAATATCTGGAGGGCCATAGGGATCGGTCATATAGATGGTGGTCGGCTTCCCCACTTTTAAATAAACTACATCAGATGTATTCTTCAATATTGCTACTGCCTCTTCATGTGTTACTTCTTCTAAACTGTAATTATTTACCTAAATGGGAGCAAAGAGAATGGTGCATTAAGCTGGCCTGATATGGAAACCAAGCAACAATTTCTTCACATGCTAATAAAAAGAAGAGAATAACTGTTTACTTAAGGAATACAGTAAATTATGCCAATTCTATTGCTACAAATAATCATTCAAATACAGCCTTCCAGATGGCTGGTAAGGGATATGAGATTTGGACTGGAAAAGCTAAGCAGGATTGGATCTGGGTAATAAATGGATGAGGGACAATTAGAAATCCTAGAGCTGGAAGCTGGACTGGGAAGTAAAGAACAAAAACAAGATAAAATCCTGGCAGAAGACAATGGAAAGCCTTTTCCAAATTCTTGCCAAGAAAATCACATGGGCTTCAGTTCGATTTGAAGGAGATTTGACCTTTAATTTATCTAGAGGGCACCAAATAAGGGAAAAGAAATTCGGGGGGGGGGGGGGATGCGTTTATTCCCACGGAAAACAAAGA